CCTCTCTACTGAGGTTGGTGTAAGTAGCGAGTTTGTTGGTGGCATATTTGAGCTACGTTCGACTTCTGTGTTTGCTTTAGAGAAGTGTTCAGCTTCTATAGGGTGTGATTTATGTTTTGTAGGTCTCCAAAGCATTTTACTCAGAAACCTGAATAAATACTGACTAAAAAATATATATAAAAAATATTTGACTAAGCTCTTGATAAAAATATTGAATGATCAAAGTTAATTTGCAAATTGAAGTAGATTACAAAAAAAATATTTTAAAATTTTACGATCTGTATCTCACATAAACGTAGCGTATCTAACAACAGAATTTAATAAAGATTTATTATATGTAAAGATTAATATAGACACTTTTATTATTACGCCTAACGTCAACGCCACGATATCTCTATAACAAGCAACGAAGCGAAAGCCATGATGAGATGAATTCAGGAAATTCGCAATCGTTGTGTTTTCTTTATTTTCCCTGATACTGATGTAAAAATAAAGCCTCTATTTTCTCACTCCATCCCTACTTAATATCACACTGATATTAAAAATGGGAAAGTTTATGAGTGAATGAATGATTGAGTGTGTTTGTAATTTTTTCATGATTTATGAGCTGAATGGTTATAAGTAAAACTCGGAATTGAGATAGTTCCCAACCTACGTTAAGCCATGGGATACTTTTCATCTATGTATCTGGCACGGTAACAGAGCCTCGGATAAAGACTAGTTGTATATATATACATCATGGCAACCTAGAATATTTAATTATTTTTGAAGATTTAAAGTACCAATTACAAGAAAAACATTCTGAGTACAAGTTGTATGTACACTTATACATATAGGTATATATATGTACATATTATATAAGTTACGTCACGAATGAATAAAAGGTATAAAGAGATAGCAATGATGATAAGAAAGCAAATGGAAAAATTATTACATTATTTTTAGTAAATAAATCCCGATAACCTAATGGGAAAAATCGACCTTACTTTGGATTCTAGATTATATTTCTTTCGATCAATACAAATACCATTTTTTCAAGGTTGAAAAATACATTTACGCATACCACCTGCACACATTTAACTGATAATGTGGGACTCATCGGTATAGGTACTACCTACCCACTAAAACCCAACAAAACCTTCACCATTTCAATAAAGCGCCGCAGCATCACTTACGCAATCAACCATGATGCCCCGATACCTGGTCTACCGATTTAAACCTCAACCAAGGGAGCTCTTTCGGTCCACTTTCCATCCTGAGAAGTACCAGGAGCAGCCTATTGCCTCCCAGTGAGTCTCTTTGCTTAACACTTGGCTATCTATCTATCCCCCCCCCCTCACTACCACAACAAAGTGAACACACATAGGGGAAATATAAATAACCTGCCGAATGTTATATTAAGTAATGACCCGCCCTCACTCCACTTGGGTGCGTCCCTAAATGCCCTTCGCATTTATAATATAACGGAAGCTCTCAAAAGGGACGATATTCTTCGATTTAATTCACAAATACGAGATCATCATATCAGTAGCTTATTTTCGCAAGATATTTACAAATTACAGCTTTCCTAGATGTTCCTATTTCTATTTGGAAAAACTTTATGAAAATACGTATAGTAATTTCTGAGATTAGCCCAAATTAATACAAACTTAAAGCAAACGGTGAGTTTAATTCAAGAAAAAATAATTTAAGGTACTTAAATATTACATTAAATGTTGGTTCTCTCATTCAGTTATTTTAACAGCCCTTTTTAACGTCCCACTGCTGGGCGTGGGCGTCTATCGAATTGAAAAATGCAAGGCAAAAGAATATCACATATGCGAGATCCGGGATGTGAACCCACTTCACTTAATTTTCATAGTGAAAGCGTTGCCAATGGGCTACCACTGAGCGACTACTAAATACTTAAATTATTGAAACCTATGTTTAATTAAATGAGAATCCAATTCCAAGGTACATTCCACGCATAAATCGAAACGCTACTGAAAATGCCTATTAATTGTATGCCTAATAGCTGACTTGACAATAATAAACGCCGCAATTTGTACTAAATTATAAAATAATTATTATATTTAAATATTATTATGATTTGTAGCTGATTAAGTTACCAAAATGTAAAATTCATTTATCACAGATCTATTCAACTAAAACTAAACCTGATACAATTCTTACTATAGCTGACCCAAAATTAAAAATTGGAGAACATATTTTTAAACAACATGAAACGTATACTTTTGATAAAAATGTTATAGAAAAATGTCTTTACTACATAGTATTTTAATCTAGTATTATTATACTTGAACGTTATAAACTAATTAACCTAAACGAGTGGCTTTGTTGAACTTACGCCCCTTATATTAGCTTCGCTGGTGACACTGATTATATACATTACAGGGGTTATCTTTAAAGGCTAGTGGTAAGTGAGAAACCAGACCTGCGAGTACAGTGTGCTACATTTTTAATAATTAATTTATAAAGTTATAAATGGAATTAAAATTAATAAATAGTATAAAATGTAAAGTCACGATCCTTTTTCATATAAGTATTATTTTAAAACCATACTCGTACATAATACTCTCAATCTCAACTCAATCGAATCATCTCTCAATAACTTTTTACTGAAAACGATACACTGAATTCATACATCACTTAAAGGTTTTACCTTCACTTTATTTCAAAATAGTTCCTTCTCTCACTCTTGAGCATGGTTTTTTTCTTCAAAAAATATACGGGACCGCCTTTGAGATATATCGGTTCACTATTAAATTATGAAAATCGATTCACAATTGGAGTAACTCTGCTCCTTTTAAAGTTGTTCAAAAATAATATTATTGTTATTAATAAAACTATTATCAGAAATAGTGTGTTTTTAAAAAAATATATTAAAAATTTCTTTTTTAAATCCGCTATCCCATGAAAACTTTTCTTTAATGAAATGCAAAGAAGTCTATCTCGAGAAAATAATCTATTCAATAAATTTCATTGAATTCGTTTCGAATAAACAGCTTTTATGAAGCATATGTAATTTATAAATTACATACTATAATATAGAAGTTAGAATATTAAATTATGCCAATTCCCTGAAGTGAGCTAAAACAGTAGTACGGGTGAATTAGAAGCACCATTTTATTTACATTCCACTAACGTTTCTCGTGTCCATAAGGAAACTACGTTATAACCTCTTTAACTGAATAGTTCAGCGTATGTAATAAAATGTTGGAAACTTTGCCTGCAACTGTATTTTTTTTTGAAAAGTATGATTTACTTATATGTGTGTATGTTAATTTACGTAATTGCTATTCGATGTTTTTCTGAAAAATGTCTACAATTTTAATATATTTAAATTACTTTGACGAACACTTTTTAGAAGTAAGTTGTTTTGGTTGTTAAATGTTTTTTTTTAAATTGCCATTTTTTTATTTACAACTAGCATTGCCCGCGGCTCCGCCCGCGTTCAGATGACCAAAAACCAAATTCTTAGGTTTTACATAATTAGTATACTCTTGACTGACTGACTGGACATTCTGACTCTTGAAATGAGATATTTTCCCGCAGTAAAAAGTATCCTATATGTTGACCCGGATAACCAGCTATCATCATACCAAATTTCATCAAAATCTGTCCAGTGGTTTTCTCGTAATGCGGTAACAGACAGACAGACAGACAGATGGACGGACGGACGGACGGATAGACAAAAATTCTAAAAACTATAGATTCGGACTCTGTATCGATAATAATGTCTATTTCAATTAGATTTTCCAAAAAATATTAAATGTACAGATTCGACTTAGTTAGAATTTTATTATATGTATAGATAAAGTAAATTACAAATATACTTAATTACGAACATATATACAAAACAAATGTACACTTAATTATTACTTTACAAGACATGTAAATTACATATTTAAAATAACTATGTATATAATATCTTTGAAAGTGACGAAATCCTTAGTTTTTCTAATGTTATGAATACAATAGCTAGTCTTTTGTAAAAAAAATCTCTATTTATAAAATATTCATTAAAAAAATCATTGTAGCTCCACGACAAGGGAAAAATCGTCTTACAAAATAGTGTTTTTCAAACCAGCATTAGGTATATATAAAACATATGTTTTATATATACCTAATGCTAATAAAATATATATATATATATATATATATATATATATATATATATATATATATATATATATAAATTTTAGGTACATAAAAATACATTGACTCTGTTCTCTTATTAGGTTGTTTTGACCAAACATTAAATGCATAATGTGTTAATTTACGCAATAGCTATACTTTATCTGAACAACAACATCACGAACTTTATTGTACAAGTACAAATATGTCATTATCATATTGGCAATAATTATTATAATTATTTTGATAATAAATTTACAACTTTATTTGAAATACTTATAACATTAGGAAGGCTGATAGATTTTTATATATTAATATATATACATAAATTTATCAATATATTATAATATTAATTTATTAAAAATACATAAATTTACCAAGTTTCCTAACGATACTTCATTATTCTCGTACTTTCTTAGATTTACGCGAATATTTGACATTTTAAATAAAACTATTTTTCGGATTTTTTCGAGAATTTATTTTGATTTTTGGTTCCCGACGTTTCGAATGCTTTACAGCAATCATGGTCACAGGAGAGAAACTTCGTTATCGTTTTATTCATGCTATCCTTATTTAGTATTAAAAATTTGAAACTAACTCTGTCTGTCTATTACGTTTTCACATCTAAGCCGATGAACTAATTTTAAGGAACTTTGGTATATGTATAGATGGGACCTTGGCATAGACTACTTTTTGTCGCAAACTAGAAGGCGGTGAAATGAAATTATAAAAGTTCTATGTTTTTCCTGCCAGAGACATAAAGGCGAGTTATATACTCTGGTATACTAAATTTATGGAACATAAAAAGGGATATTATATAATGAAGATTACAAGAAGCGAGTGTAGCAATATTATAAATGTAAATGACACCTGAGGCGAAGCGGGGGTAAGCCACTAGTCTATACTATTGTTATAAAGAGAAAAATGTTTATTTGTGTGTTTGCTTAGATGTGGTATGAAGACAGTTTGAGACCTTGTCAAAAACATAGGATAGGTTTTATCCCGCAAATCATCCTTTAAGAAGTTTTTTAAGAAAAATCTTTTCAAGCAGAAAAAGGAACGTCTATATAGTGTAATCATACTATTTCATTCGGTATAATGCTATTTGTTAAAGGTTGTATGTACAAGTAGCTGTTTGCCTTTGTCCAGTCCTATTACCCTTGATTCTAACTTATTGAACTCGACTAAGCACACTAATTTATATGGGATTGTAGCAATAGAGTTCTATTTCACTGGACAGTTGTTGTTTGTTCATATTTTAAAAATGATTAAGTAATAATTTATTGAATACTAGCGTCATACATATGTATATATTATATATACACACATACATAGGTACGATACCTCATCATACCTATGTATTTAATACTTATGTATTATATAAACATTGGTATGATGAGTTTTATATACCTTACTTGAGAAATACTTGATTCCCTATAACTTTTCACCCCTTTAAGGGATGATTTCCGAGATAAAAACTATCCCATGTCCTTCCCAAGTTCTCAAACTATCTTCATACTTCTCAATCGATTAAGCGGATTTTTAGTTTATCCATTACAAACAAACACACAAAAAAACGTTTTATTTTTCTTTATAATATTAGTAGAGATACGAATTACAGATAAATTAAATTTATGTTCAAAAATTAATCACATTTACACTAAAATATACTTGATAATTTCAGGCATCATTATAAAAATACGTTAACAAAGTCTTTGCTCTGATTAATATTAATATATATTGCAATATATACTCGTATGTATCAATTATCTCGAGTCGTCATGGTTTTGAAAGTAAACGTGTTTTAAAATGACTGTGATAATCATTAATCATAATTAAGTCTTAATCATAATTAACGAAACAAACTTTACCATTGATCCAAAATTAGAATAACTCTTAGACTTAAAATTATTCTATTTGACAAACAGCCTCCTTAGAGAGGCTCTATTCCTATTCAAGAATCGCGCGTAAGATAAAAAATAGTACAGACATAAGTGAGAGTATCGTAAATCAGTGGAGAGGGAATTGAAACGTCGCGGCTCGGGCGGCGTCGGGCGGGCGCGGGTGCGGGCCGATGGCGGGCTGGGTGCGCGTGCGCGGGACAGGGCGCGGGCGAGGGCGGGGCGGCGCAGCCTCCGGGTGCAGCACTCCGCCGCCGCCCGCCGCCCGCATCGATCCCGCCCGGGAGAGCTCGGCGAGCCGTCTCCGCGCCACCACCGCGCGCCCGTGCGCCGCCACGCTCCCGCTCTACCGTGCAGGTGCATCCTCGTACCGCGCTTACGTAACCTCGTATTGACAGGTTATGTGCTGAGTGCCGTGACATCTAGTTCGCGAACGCGATCATAGCCCCCGCTTACGCACCGATAATTGGTTCAATATTTGCGTTAAACTCATATTGTAAATGTATATATAACATTTATTACCTCTAAGCTCAGTGACGTTACTCACACATAGCCGAATACGTGCTTTCGCGCCTTCCGCAAGTAGTAAAGTTGAGAAGATATCTGTTTCTATTGAGATTATTTATACTTTGTCATTATTTATTATATATTATTTCCATTGTAAATTGTGAGCAATTACGCCATCTTTCATTTTGTATTCATTAAATTATTCACTGCAACATTGTTTTACTTCATTTACTCATAAATCGACATTCACTCATTTATTTATAAAACTCTCGTAGATATCTTTATATTCTTTAAAACAATATTTTTATTGCATATATAATATAAAGGTAATTAATATTATCTTTTAAATATATTTTATTACTAGTTAATGCTAAACGCTAATGCTAGAACAAATTTTAATATATAATTTTCCTGTATTGAGAAGATGGTCTCAAAAATTGGGCCACGATTGACATAAGCGTGATGTATTTTACGCGCCATATCCGCAGAATCGACCTTTTTCAAATTGAATAAAGTACGCAATGCCATTGAAATTTCCGCTCTTCGTACGTAACAATAAAAACTACTTTTAACTAAAATAGTTTGTGCTTAAACCTTTCTCCCGAATAGTCAACGTCCAATAATGACATTTCTACGGAAAGTGAGCGGAAATAAAAAAAATGTAATAATTTTCTACATCCTTTTTTTTCTTTCAATCATAGAATCAAGATCACATATTATTATAACATTACCAGAAAAATCTTTATTTCTTCTTTTTACTATTTGTATTTTAATTGCTATATAGCTTCATTTTAAAACATAAATGGAAACACTTTATTGCCATTTCAAGAAAAATCGAAATTTTAGTTTTCATGTTTAATGGTACAAAACCTTTTAAATTTATTTAACATAAAATATTTACGTCTTTGTATACTTTCCATACCATTCATACATATTTTATCGATACTTTTAACTTCATCCATATTAAAAAAAATATATATTTCACACGTACATAAACCAAGAACCCTAATAAAAACATAAAAATTATAAATTAAAATAGGTATATTTTACTGCACGACATCACCTTATATTTATTGATTTTTCTTATAACACTTAAAAGTAAATTAACATTGACTCTGTGATGATTTAAATAAACTCAAATATTCGTAGAAATCGCTTACACAAATATCGTCCTCTTTATTATTTATTTTGTCCAGAAACTAGTACTCTGTACATCCTCATTCGCATATTTTTTACAAAGATTTGTCAATAAAGTGTCATCTATTTGCGAATATATTTATATTATTAATAACCAGAACATCACTCATCGTTCATTATCGATATAATACACAACGATGTACAGTCGCAGGAAACGGTCGGTAATAGTGTTAGCGGGTTTTTGCGAATAAGACAGTAATGCAAAGCGGCGGATTTCTAGCGTAAGGCCGGACATTGACGGGATCTGCGTATGAGCATGTCGGCCGAAAAAGAGAAAATGGCGGCTGCCGAAGCTAAATCACCCTCCAACAAGAGCAACTGCACCTCACCTGGGAAAAAAGGTAGCGTGTATGAATCTCCTACATCTTAAACACATAGTTAACGGATAAAACTTGATATCCTCTCTAATTAACTTAATAACTTTTATAATATTTACGAAATATTTCTTTTATAATAAGTTCTATTGTAGTTATTTAAAGATCAAAACTAAAATAGATACAGTACCTAAGTTTAGAACTTTAGACATATAAAAAATAGTACATTAAAATTATAATTTATCTATCGATTTATATCATTATAGTCAAATACGTGGAATTTATATAAGTAAAAAACGTTTAAGCTTTATGTAGTGATAGTAATATCAGTGTAAAATATTATTATTCAATGTGTAGCCATATAATAAATATAAAAAATATTTTCATTTGATACAATTTTATAATTATTTATAGTAGCAATACAAAATATATAACTTTTTCTGTACTTAAATCTATATTATTTTTTTATTACAATTTAACATAGAGATTAAAGATTATTACCAAATAAATTCTGTCCGTCAAGTTGCTTGAAAGGTTTCAAGCCTTCACAACAACTACAGTAGTTAATCCGTTTAGCTAAGCGTTCAAGCAACGAGTGTTATGCCTATAACGCTATTAAAAGTATTGTTACGTCAATATTATTTATATATCATACTTTTAAACTATTTATATAGTAATTCTATTTTGAAAACGGAAAATGTTTAAATTGGAACATATACAGTGCTGGGTAAAAGTTTTAAAATATCTTATGTCATCAGGTAGTAGTTAATCTTGCTATAGTTAATCAAATAAAAAATAAGTATTTTAACGCGTAAAAAGTGGATTTTATCACTTCCTTCCCTATAAAGAGTCCATAAAAATTACATTTATTCGCTTCTTGGTTACGACACAAAAATGTAAGAATTATACTGGTTTTGGAATTATAGGTGTTATTAGCAGTTAACAGAGATATATAATATACTATCTTTTTAAGACTTATTTTGGAAATGAAGACTTTTTCACGATATATGTATAACATAAATAAAATAAAATCTTATATGAACACTTGTTCGGAAAATATATTTGGGAAATTATATAGAGTTGCAGGTTTCTATTGTCGCAATTTGGTTTTTAACTATCAAATCCTTACAATCTAAACGAAGCTAGAAACGAGTATGTATCTTAAACTATGAAGCAAAAACTTGTTAACATCTTAAAATATATGTATAATTTACAAAATAATAAACATAATACGCTTAAAATATTACCTTAATAAAATAAAATTTTATGCTTTCGCTCTGAAATCGTTTCCTTCAAGATTAAAAGCTATAAAATAACTTTACTCGCAGCGATACAACATTTTATATTTGCCTTCATCTTTGTAAGTTATAAGGTATACTTCTTCAAAACTTTTAAAATTGAATTTAGATATCCAGCCCAACTTCAAGCATGAACTGCTTGAAGTTGGGCTGGTTTCCTTTTTATATTCAATTTAAGAGTAAGGCGAATCTTAACTCTAAAGTTAAATTATAAGAGCAATTTTCTTAAAGTACTAACATTTGTATTTATTTTTCTTAAAAATTGTCGGGCTTGTATGTAAGTTTGTGTATAATAATATAATCATTTAAATTAGTGCTAGTTTTAAGCTGAAGCTTGAAAGACTTCCTTAATTTTTTTATAATTGAATTATAGAAAGAGACAATGCAAACAAAAACCTTACTTAAAAGTTCAAACTCCTAGAAGCCTATTCACATTTCTAAGCCTAAGCCTAAGCATATTATATTTAATTAATTTCCATATAGTATTACCTACTAGTAATTATCACTACATGGTATAAAACAAAGTCGCTTCCCGCTATCTGTCTGTCACTATGTTGCTTAGATCTTTAAAACTACGCAACGGATTTTGATGCGGTTTTCTTAATAGATAGAGTGATTCAAGAGGAAGTTTTATATGTATAATACATTATAGTACAGAAAAACCGAGAAATTCAAATATTTGTATTTCATACCAACCGTTATAACGTATCTAGGGACGAACCCGAGCAAAACGAGGGTGAGTCGCTAGTTACTACTAAATCCAGTACACGTTAGGTACATCCCCTTTTTTTAGCAATACCTTTTTTGACACTGATGACAGCTTAAATAAGCTAATGCCTGAATCATACGAAGGAGGATTATGTCTATCGACCACTAGTCTTTTCATCGTCAGAATTGGTTTCCAATCCATTCATTTTTGTTGAAATTCATTGAACACTGTAATTTCGTTCTTACTAAGTCTTCTGAAAGGATAAAGCACACCTGAACGCGCTGTCGACTTAAGTTCGGATAACGTAATTTCTCGTTATTCAGATTTTTCTTGCGGATACGCTCGGTGGGTATTTAGGTCATAGTTTTTAATATTTATTTTCTACATTTTCCTAGCATCGCGAACGCCTCACTGCTTATTAAGCTAAAAGCTATCGTGGTTCAATATCGGATACCAATTCTATGTTTCGTTCTTTTCAGTTATCTTTAAAAATAATTTCAATTTGGAACAACCCAAAGGAAAATACTAAAGAGTAAAAATTTACTCATTCATGTGGCTTTCACAGGTGGTATGACGTGAATCTTACCTTTCGGATTGTCTCATTACTTATGTCTTCTTATCTGTAATCCTTACGGAACTCTGAATAGAGTTAATATACCATTCCGCCATTAATTCTACGTGATAGCATCCATCCGTAAATAATGAGGTGATTGTGGTGTATTATATAAATGGATTTTAGGTTCAACTAACCATAATGGTATGCTTCACATTATCTACATCTATATATCTAAGGACCCAAGTTACTTTACAAATATGTATAATGTTAGTACTGTAACTAGTACCTTTCTATAATAATTGTGACTTGTCTTTTTTATTTATTTACTAGCATTGCCCGCGGCTCCTTCCGCATTCAGATGACCAAAAGCCAAATTCTTAGGTTTTACATATTAGTATAGTCTTACATTGCAGTTTTTGTATTTTTTTTTTAAATATGATATTTTCCCGCGGTAAAAAGTATTCTATATGTTGACCCGGATAACTAGCGATAGCTGGTTTTCTTTTTGTCGTTTTATGGTGTTAACCATACCAAATTTCATCAAAATCCCTCCAGTGGTTTCCCTGTGATGCGGTAACAGACAGACAGACAGGCAGACAAAAATTCTAAAAACTATATTCTTCCTCTGTATCAATAATATATCATCTGATAATAACGAAATATGGAGTTAAATAAAGATATAATAGAATAGAATAATGAAGAAAAAATAGAGTTCCATTAATAAAATCTATTTATTTTTCTTATCACACCCTTTGAGCCTTTGAAACAAAAAAAATCCAACTTCCTCCTTTTTGGAAGTCGTTGAAAATACATTAAGTACATTTTAGAGTTTTCATATTCAAAACTGGGGACAAGAACAACTCTGTCTTAGATTTGATACATATGTATTTACTTACTCAACTATTCATATTATAATAATCATCTAATTTTGAATACATACATATAATCATTAAGACCATTTTAACGTTATGTACACTGGCCATAGGCCCTCAGGTCGGGTAATAATAATTATTAATAAACAAATCTGTTACTGTTAATATTAATCTTTTACCTCTCCTATTTTTCTTTACCTCTACGATGAACATTGATTTACGCGTCATTATTTTGGATGGATGCACTCTAGGCTTTGAATTGTATAATCGGCCTTTTGCAGCTTTCGAACAAAGCCGCTATGGGCTAACAGAAATTCGTAAATCTGAATATTGTTCATATACTTTCGTACGTGAAACATCAGAACTATAAATATTAACCGTTTTAAATAATAACTATGAGGTAGCATATGATGTTTAAGAGTAATAGAGTGGCTTATTTAATTATATTATAGTAAAACATAACAAACTTAATATTAAATTATTTACTAATTAAATGCGTCAAGAACTTACCGATACCAAGTCAAATGTTATGAGCTGGTCTACAATATAAATAATAAATACAGCGTGTGTTACATATATGTACAGTCACACATACTCACTGACAAGTTTTTGCATTATACGCAATTTTTGAAAATAAAATATGAATAATAAAATAATATATTCTTTTTTTACTAAAATAAAATTCGTTACCTATTTGTATTAACCGGCTTCATGTTTAATTCTATGACATTCTGTCCATATGTATTGTTCCTAATACTGAGTTTTTTATATATTCCCCTCCCTATTTAAAAAATAATTACTTTTCATAGAACAGAATATAGCAAACAATAATAAATATTATATACATTTTCTCATGCATGGCAAACCCTAGGCAATTACTTGAAAGTTTAAACACACAGCTTGAAGGAAACCTTTTAAAAATTCAGTGGGTATTTCCGACCTTTTACCCTGTCAATATTCAATAAACAGACACTTGTGGTTTCATATTCAAAATGATAGCTACTTACTGAAGTATTAATTTAAATTAATATATAATACATAATTTTTTTTTAAATATTTACTTTTAACTATGTAGCTTACGCTTTACTGTCACAATTCAACCTCCCATCACTGTCCTTCCCCCCTCCCCCTCCCCCTTCCCTTATAGTTCAAACAGAGTTAGCACATTACAATCATTTCTTAGGTTCCCATTTATATAACTACTGGAGATTAAGGTGGTATAACCTTTAATCATGTTTTTTTTATATTTCTTTTGACCGAGATAAACAACCGTATTCTAAATAAATATTTGGTATATTTTAGTTTGCATATCTTTGGCTTATTCATTCTTGTACTTTTCAAATACGCCAAAGGTACGATATAATATAAAAATTAAATAATATAATATAAAAATGATTAAAAATCCTCGAAAGTTCATGAAGGCACAATAATACTACGGTTTTATTATTGATTTTCACAGACTAGACCACGTTTTAAAGTCACCAATACAAACAGGTTGTAAGTAAACGTGACCGTTACATAAAACTCTTTACGCTCTATATTATCTAACCAGATATTTTAAGATACATATATTGTGCCTATTGAAATTCAAA